TTGTAGGGTATCATTTCTGCTGAAAATCCATGGATTGACTTGTAGGCAGATGGTTATGGAAGGTTCTCAACAGAAAAGGCTGAGAGAAACAGCTGACATGGCCCTCCCCTAAATGACAATGCATGGTCTGCAAGGCACACCATCCCTCTACACTTACCTGCTCCCCTCTACATGGTTCCTCAGGTCTGGCCTCCTCTTCCCAACCCTCAGCCCCTTACTTCTCCTCTCCCTGTTCAATCAGGTGACCACCACTCACTCACTCTCTAGCCCAGAGAGGAAGGTAGGATAACCTGGGTCATCTCCTATTCTTTTTGTAACCTAACTTTATGTCATAGACTCTACAACCTTCTTCCTCAAACACCTTCCCTTTGGATTTGCAAGGGATTTTTCCTCTCTCAACAAACCCAGGTCTTGCAAATCAAAGCGTTAGCATTCGAATCTATGCTTCTGCTGTGACATGCAAGAGCCTATCTTATTAGTTTCTGTCTTTTTGCAGTCCTGATCTAACAATCCTAACTCTCCTCAAAGCAATACAGATGCCTCTGGCTGAACAGGGAAGAAAGAAATGCTACAAACACAGACAGACATTAATATTTAAAAAAACAAAACAAAACAAAACACCTTTCTATGCCAGTTAACTCTGGGCCACTCAGTATAAGAAATCACCAAAGCATTATAATTCACCTTGCAGTGTTTTGTTTCATTTTGTTCTCCTCCCCATACCCGTGGAAACAATTCTTGGATGTGGCCCTCTTTGCTCCACAGTGGAAAAGAGCTCCAGGTCTTAGCTCTTGTCCTAGGTCTGCCATTAACTTGCTGTAAAACGTGGGCTAGCCACTTCCCTGCACTGGGTGATCTTTCCCAGCTGTGCAATCTATGCCACAGTCATCTCACTATTTATGGGGCGATTGCTGTGGGCCTGACCCTGCCAGGGAAGGTGTACACGCATTGCCTCTCTTGACCGTATAAGAATTCTGGGAGCAAGGGAGGTATTTTTATAGATAGGTCAGCTGAGGCTTATCACACAAAATTCATATTCAAACTCAAATTTGCTGGGTTCTACAGTTCTTTCTACTGTACAACTATACAGTATTTAGATTAGTTTCGTGTGTATGTCTGTATTACTGCAGAGCTGCTAAATCTATCATAAGGGCAACTTTAATGGGCAAATACAAAGTATGAAACACATCTATGCACAGCACTGAAAAGGGAATACCCAATAGTTAGTCACCCTAGTCAAGGGGCAGAACCATGAGGATATCCTTGTTCAAGAATATACAAGAAACAAATGTGAGTGAACAAGCAAATTCCCTTTGGTTTACCAATCTGAGTTGATTACATTGATGGGATAATTTCTCACCCTGTTAAGACAAGACCAGAGTTGCAAAATCTTGAACAAAGGGCAAGGCAGAGACCACAAGCATACTGGCAAAAATCTGGTTTGTGGTGGCGTCTGACACTGACTTATTTCTGCTGAAATGATAAGGATCCCAGGCAGGCTCTCTAGGCAGGAAACTCCAGCATCTAGGGAGGGAGCCTAATTAGGAAATAGACAATGAACCATATGCAGACTTTTGCATCCCTGACACAGCAAAACAACTTCCTTTGCTCTGGATGGCAAAATTGTTTTCCCACTGTGCGCGTGGGAGAGAGATGACGCATTCTGTGACAGTAACTGCGAACAGGTGGGGGGAAAAACAAGGGTCACTTCCAAGAGGCCTGTTAAAACTTTCCCTTTTCAAAGTCTGAGGAAATAATAATGCAGCTGCCCAAATGAAAACCTATCTGTTGCTATGCGTTCAGTGTACACCTTGCCTATCCACTCAAAAGTCTCAATTAAAATCCCAGCTGTTATTTGTGTGTTGGGTTCAGACACTCTCCCATAGCCATGGCAAAGGAACAAAGGAAAATACTCTTGTTGGTTGTTACACCTGCAACTGGGATGAATGGTAGTTGATGTCAGCTGCATTTATATTGTATCTGGAAGAATAATAATGCTTTTCATTTGCAGAGAGCTTTACAGCTTATGAAGCCCTTTTATATGCATTTCATGCATTCATTAAAATTAAACATGGTGCCTCCCTTACAAAAAATAAATCAAAAAATTTTTGATTTTACAAAAATCAGCTTCTGCAGCATGTAGCTGGCCAAACATTTCTGAGTATTTGAAATTATTTGTTGCATGGTCATAACAATGACACCAAGATTTCCCATTCAACAATTTGTTCTCCATTTTAACAACAGCAACAAATAGACACACACACACAGTATGTTTCTTGGTTTTAATTGGGTTTTCTTTTTTGCTTATTGATTTATAGGAGTCATTTATTCTTGGTCTGAGTTCTTGGTCAGACATATGATTTGTGAATATCTTCCAGTTTCTTGTGGGGTCTGCAATTCATAAACCATTTGTTGGCCTTTAGAGTTAGAAACATTGCCAGTGATCCTTTAGGCCAATCAACCTCTTTGTTCACAGATGAAGAAAATAAGCCCAGAGAGAAGTTCACATAGCTACTTAGTAGTAAAATTAAGTTTAGAACCCAAGTCTTTTGACTTTTTCTCCTGGCCTATAGCTAATATTCTGCACTGACAAATTCTTAAGATGTGATACTTCTGCATTTCCATAGAGCAATGAAAAAAAAAAACCTACTGACATGCGGCAGCATGGATGAATCTCAGGCACAATGTTGAGTCAAATGAAAAAGTCAAACAAAATAGGTTATATCCTGTGTGGTTCCATTCATATAAACTTCAAAACTAGGCACGATCCTGAAGGGACACAAACCTGACAACAGGAAGGAATCCCCCACGTGCCCTCTTGGTCAGGCTTGGGGACAGGATAGGAAACTCCTGGTGCTCACAGTGAGTTGGGGAGATGCACATTTTGTTTGCCTTTAGTGTTTCTCTCTCTTTCTCCACATCCCAGACTCCCAGGTATGCTATGGTGTGACTGCAGTGACAATGGAGGTAACAGGAAATTGTCCTTCTTAGTTGAAGTGCTGTTCTCCCACAATGGGAGCTTAGACCCCTGTGGCATGTTTCTCCTGTGAGGGAACTTTCTCCAGTTGTCAAAATGTTCTATATCTTGATTTGTGAGATAGTTACATAGATGGATACATATGTAAAAATTCATCAAGCTGTACATGTAAGATTTGTGCACTTTACTGTATATGTTATATATCAGTAGAAAGCAAAGAAGAAAATCGAAGCAAAATAGAGAGATTTAACTATTCCTCATTAACTCAATAGATAGTGAACAAAGAGAATAATTCTGGCCCTGAAATGATTTTTAACCTGAATTATTATTTTTGGCTGATTTTCACTATTACACAAACCATGAAGTTGCCAAATCTCTACTTTTTTTTGAATAATCTGGCTCTGCTTTGAACAAGGTGTGGGTTGGACTAATTGACCTTCAAATTCTTGGGATTTTTTGAAAAAGAAATGCCAAAATATATATAATCTCTGAGTTGGGAAAGATCAGCAGAGATTGTCTTGTTCTTGTCTTTTATTTTGTAGGAGAGAGAAGTGACCTTGGGGGAAGGAAATGACTTATCCAAGGTTGCACCAATAGTAATTTGGTGCAGATCTATAGGCTTCATTTCAACTCACTTCAACAAATAACCCTTGAGTGCCTGCTATGGGCTAGGCACCAAGTCAGACACTGCATTAAATTCCCAGGCTCCATAATGTCACCGATGAAAACATCACTGTATGCTTTGTGAGAGAAGCAATGAGCTCATCTCCAACATACTCATGAGGGCACCAGCAGACAAGATCAGAAGACTTAAAAAGGAAGCAAAACCAAGGTGAAAACGCCAAAATAAAGTAACCACATCATGTCTTTTCCCGCACTCAACCATGCAACCATCAAGTGAAGTCTCTCCTTACTCGAGGGTAGTGATTCTGGGACTCTACATCAAGATAATGGCAAATAGTAATTTTAGAGTCTACTATATGAAAATTCTAATGACATGGCCTAAAATTATGTAATCCTAAACATTCCTATTTGTAAATTTCTACTTCCTATCTGCTGAAATTTACATTTTTAAGAAAACTATTTTTCTTCTTCAGTGAATTTAGCAAATGTGATGAACTAATTTCTGTAGCCTTCTTACAAAGTGATTGTAGGAACAAAACATGATGAATGTACAATTTACCTCTCAAAGCATGCAAAACCTACGAATTCACCATTGTGACAAGAGCGTAGTAAGTAGACACAGGCTCAGAGAGAAAGTAGAATACATGGGTCTGTCTTAATTCTCTCACTAGCTATGTGAGAGCTTCTCTTTTCTGGGCAGTCATTTCTCCTCTCTGGAACTCCATTTCCTCATTTACAAACTGTAGGGGTTGGACCAAAGAATCACCAACATTCTTCTCAGCTCTAAGATTCAACAAGGTTGTGACTCATGGGCCCATTAAGAAACTTCTGAGTCTGGTGGGCCTCGTTGATTGTTTCTGGGAGCACTATGGGTAGTGAGGATGCAGGGAGCTAAGGAAGAGGAGAAAGGACTGAGAAGATAGAAGAGGAAAAGGGGAAACAATCGAGGAGAATATGACAAGGAGAGACTTCACTGATGTCTGTGTGACTAGCTGGTAGACAGGGCCTTCAGGTGGCTCCTGAACCAGACTTCTGATTTCCTTTCCCTTCACATCTGTACCCTCCACACATCTGCTTCTAACTTGGGCCAACTTGAAGTTGGCCCACTGAAGTCCCAGGACCTCACCCCGGTGTGGTGACTGGCTATTTGTACTTTCTCCTTTACCTCTCACCTCTCCCTGTTCCGTGCCATTGTGTGCATCCCAAAACTTCTCCTCTGTGCTCTGAAGGCACTGTAATCTACACAACACATTTCCTTCTTTTCTTGAACCTCAAGGACTTGGTTGAAGTCTATACCACTAACTCCTGAGCTTAATGTAGACCATGTAAATATATAACCCCCACATCCAATCTCCCTGAAGTCTTGCTTCCTTGTAGCTTTATACAGCTTAGAATCTACCTGGGATACAGATGAAGATTTTTCAACAGTTGGCACAGTATAGATGCCCACTGTGTCTCTGAAGAAAGCAACAGTAGTATTCAGAGCCCAGTTACCAGGGAAGCACAATTATTCTGAGGGCACAATTGAGCCCACTTCATAGAGAGGTAGTGAAACATCCCCTCCCCCAATACAAAAGATGTACAAACCTGATTCAGTCTTGTTTCCTGACACCAGCATTTAATGATACCCAAATAGAAATGTGAGGTTTTAGGAACCACCTCCCTCCTTATCCTTCTACCACTTGCAAAATCAAAACCAAACTCCCAAACATGGCATGGAAAACCCTTCAGGAATGTCTTATAGTTCCATCATAATTTGTAGCAGGTCTGTGCCTGCTTTGCCTTCTTGAATCTGATGCTCTAGTTCTGTGGTTCTCAAACTTATGTGCAGAGGTTCTGTGCATTAGAATCACTAGGGAAGCTTTAAAAATCCAGATGCTCAGGCCACACCTCAAACTCATTAAATGAGAATCTCTGGGGGTAAGAATCCAGCATTGGTATTTTCTAAAACCCCTGATGATTATAGTGTACCCAGGGAGAGAACAACTTTATTTTTGGTTTAAGAGTCACTAAGAGGGCTAGTAAAGAATACAGGTTGCCAGGCCCCACCCCTGAGATTATAAATCAGTAAATATGAGGTAGGGATTTCAAAATGTGCATTTCCAATAGGCTCCCCGAGGAATTATGAAGATGGCCCGAGGACCACACTTGGGAAAAGCACTGGCCTGCTAGGCTACTCAGTCCAAGTGCCTGAGTCGATGGAACACTCTCACTCTCCTTGGATTTGTTTCGGCTTTGCTCGCTGCCTGGAATGCCCTCCCCTCCCCCTGACCTCTGAGAGAACTTTTGATCACCTTCCAAATGTAAACTCTACTCTGTGACTTTTCCTGACCCTTCCCAGTAGGAATTAATCACTCTCCCGTCTGAGTTTCCATAGCACTTTGTACATGCCTCTGCTAAAGCATTTGTCACACAGTATTATGGTTGTTTCTTTATGTGTCTGTCACACCCTTTAAACTGTATTTTCCTTTCTTCATCTTGCTAGCACCTAGCACAGTGCCTGGGATATAACTCAAGTCAGTAAATGTTTATTGAATTAAATGAAGTTGTTTGTAGAGTTGGTCATCATATTAGATATCCATCTGGCAAAACTACAGACACTGAGATGGGGCACAGGAAAGATCCTAGTGCCAGAGAGGAGGGTGGGAGGACTGCCAGCCCTAGCACCAGGGCTAGGGCATGACTCCTCCAACATGGAGGGTATGCAAAACAGACTCAGGTTTGTTTAGTAGGAGGAAGAAGAAAAATATGTAGGATGGTAATTGAAATTTAGAAATAGATACAAAGAAGAACTCCAGACACATGGGTATGGTAGATGATTGTAAGAATAACTGGGGCACTTATTTAAATTAAAATAAATCAAACTCCTGAGCCAAAAGCCAGCCCTGTAATCAAAATCTCTATGAGACATGCTGAGAATTTGAATATTTAGCAAGAGCTGGTGATTCTTATTATCAGTCAAGTTTGTGAAACACGGGGCTAAGCCAACCTCAGGAAGTGCTGAGAGTGGGTAGAAGAAGTTTTCAATGCAGAGGAAACCCAGCATCCTTGGGCACCTGATGATCTGTCCTGGTGGTACCAAGTCCTAGTTCTCACTGGAAGTGAGGGAAGCTTTAAGTTTGTGGGACAGTAGCCAATGGTTTTCGCTAGGTCCCAGGACACTACATCTGACTTTTAGAGAACCCCAATAGTGAGCTATACCCACTAAGTTGCAGCCCTTCCCATCTATCCTACCTCCACAAAACCTGAAGATGAGGCAGGGATGAGTGTACAAGGTGAGGGACATTGTGGAGAAAGGGATCAGAAGCTGAGAAGCTGAAGAAATGAAGCCAGCACTAACAGAGTGGGAAAATAAATTAGAGCACAAGCAACGGTCAGCCCTATCTCTCCCAAACTACAACAAGGTAAAGTTGTAATTCCAGCAATGTTTGAACTTCAGAAAGGGAGGGGAATGTGAGTGTGCCATCACCTGGAGTTAGCCAAAGTACAAATTCTCAGGGTACAACCTCCCAGACTGCCCTCACTTCTGATACTAACTGCAAGTTTGGGGGAGTCCCAAAACCACCCTCAAGTTTAATATTTCACTAGAAATATTCACAGAACTCACTAAAAACTATTATATTAATAGTCATGATTTATTACAGGGAAAGGATTAGAACTAGCCAGAGGAATAGACACATAGAAAAGAGTTTAGAAGGATTCCAAATGTAAAGCTTATGTTGTCCTCAGAACGCACTACTCTTCCAGCATCAGTGTGTGACAGTACAGAATATTACCAATGTGGTAAACTCAGCTCAGTGTCCAGAGTTTTGATTGAGGCTTCATTATGTAGGCATAATTGATTGATTGATTCATTCATTCATTGTGGACATGGTTGAACTCAGTCTCCAGCTGCACTCCTTTTCTGGAGGTTGGATGTTGGGCTGGAGGGGGCCTGAGGGATGGCAGGACAGATGTATCTGAACTTTGCCATCCTTGGAATGGAGTTAATGCTTACAGAATTAAAACTGGATTTTCCATACAGCTTATAGGGCCTTCACCCACATGGCATAGTTATGGAATCAATCTGAGAACAGGGTGGAACTAAAATAGCCTTACTAAGAGTCTGGAATGGAGTAAAGATGTTCAAATACATACAACAATATGACTCACCTGTATTTCAGTAAAAAACTCAATTAGAACTGAATAAAAAAAAAATCTATCAACCAATTGCTTTTGGTTGAAAAGAACACTAGTACTATTCCAGACCAGTTGCAATTCCAGTCATATTTCAAATTCCAGGAAAGTATGGGAATGTGGAAGTGTCAGTACTATTTTATGACATAATACTATTCCAGGTATTAAGCTACTATCTGTGGGACTACTGAAGAAACATTAAATACACTCAAAGATCCAAGAAATTACAAGCTAATTGAGGAAGATAATTCAGACAAATGAAATAGGCAGAAGTTTTCCAATAGAATATAATGGCACATGTCAAACTCTGTAATACTGATAAACTCTGATAAAGAGAGATGTTGATAATGGGCAGGTGTAAATTTATAACTATGTGAAGGCAGAAAAGAGTTTGAAACCCTGCTGGAATAGAGTGTCTAACAGTATATAATTAAGGGTTTACATATGAAATATAAACTATACATGCGAAAGTAGCTCAAAGGGAAGACCAATAAGGCCTGAACAAACATTAGGAGTTTCTGAAGAAACCTTAAAGTAGCAATGATTTGAAGTAGGGTGGTTTAGACAGAACAAGTGGAAAAAGAAAGAAAGCCACCTCAACATTCCTGGACAGTAAAGAGTTAATACTATATCTAGTTCACTAGAACCAGCCATCTGAGCAACACTGTGTACATTCTGATAATGAAAGTACCAAGCAAACGCTTTAGGATAGTATTTAAAAACCAATATACTGAGACAAACAGCACATTGATCAGGATGCGGGGCAATAACAAAGATATTAAGCCCTTTCCTCCCATCTTTACAAAGCAATTGCTGGATAATCAAAATATACCAGGTGGAGAGGCAACTGTTAAAAAAGAGGGAGGGAGGGAGGGAGGGAGGAAGAAAGACAGAGAGAGAGAGAGAGAGAGAGAAGTCAGCTGTTAGCTGGAAAAGGAAACAAAGGTGATCAGAAGGAGGGTTTGGGGTACTTACTGAAGAATAGGGATCAACATAAAAGCAGTCTCAGAGCAGAACAAGCCACTGGCACAATTCTGAATGACTAAAGAAGTTGGAAGCTGGCAAAGGTCCCTGAGTAATTTCAAAAACTCCCTAAAATATGTATTTTATGCCTTATATAGCTATTATTATTTGAAATTTGAAGGATCCAAACATCTTAGTCTGATTTCCAAGGCTTTCTATGATCTGTTAACAAATGTTTTCCCTACCACTAATCAATTATTTAAATCATTTACTCAACAAATGTTTGAGCACCTCCACTATTCTAGGTTTGGAGGATTCAACAAATCAAAAGGCTCCTTATGGAGACTATATTCCATTAGAAATGGACACAAACACATATATGTCTAATATCTACTATAGCTATATCTACTATGTAATATAGTAACTCGTTCTGTGATTGCAACTAAGGCATGGATAAGAGAGAGAATAGGCAGCGCTGTCTATATAGGGTGGGCGGGGAAGGTTTCACTAGTAAAGAACATTTGAGCTGAGATCCAAATGAAGTGAAGGATTGAACCATGTGAATATGAGGAGGGGGAAGGATCTCAGGCTGGGGGAACAGCTAGTACAAATCCTTAAGGCTGGAATGAGCCTTACCTCTAGGCTTAAAAATGGCAGGCAGTGGAGTAAATGGAATGAAATAAAGTGAGAAAAGTAGGCAGGTACCATCTCACATAGTCTTTCATATACCAGAATAGTTTCAATTTTATTCGGATTACAAAAAAAAAATCCTTTGGAGGATTTCCGTTATGATCTTATATGCCCAGTAACAGAACTGGTTAAATGTAAATATTTCCTACTCTTTTCATGTTTGTTTTCAAACCATGACTTCCCTGGTAAGGAGACCATAGTGAATATTTATTAATTCCACCCTCCACTCCTCATCGTATCTTCCTTTTACTATACTTTCTCCTCAGATGGCCAGTATTCTTACTATGAAGTGACAAACAAAACTTTATTCCTGAGGAATCTGAGTTTTCAGTGGTTCCTGCCTATAGGGGATTTCTATAATATTCCTTTAACTTACCACTGGTCAGAGATTATTCCAGGAAGTTCCTCTAGGTTTCATTCATATTGTCCTTTGATCTTACTATTTATTAGAATATGTATCAAAAATCTTTGATAACAGATTTACCCCAGCTAATACTATGGCTCATGTTTTTTCTGCCAAGTGGTGAAAAGGATCCTGAAATAGCAGAGGGGCAGTCTCTGTTGTTAAGCATTTCTTCTCTAAGTACTAAAACTCCCACACAAGTATTGCCCAGAGTCATGGGTGTAATATTAAATGTAACTGTAAG